TGTGATGCGTTGCACGAGAAATACCCCCAAATCGTACCTATACAAGGTGTAATATAGATGGTACTGTATGTGCCGCGCGACATATGTTGCGCACAGCAGGACAAGGGTTTTAAAGAAATGTATACCCTCCCTTTAGTTCTGTAACGTCAGTTCACATTTGAAACAAATTGTTGAAGGATATAGCGAGTATTGTTGTTTAATGCCCAAGAGAAACACCCTGGCACACCCTGATAGCCGAAGGTGAGTTTAAAACATAAACAGTTTCTTCTGAAATCTAAAAATATACAGAAGAAGACAGAAGAGTCGGATTAGCGCCTACTTTTATGGGGGCAATAACCCGCACCTACCATTTGGTTATTTGTTTGAAATATTTCTAAATATTTCCAAAAGTATCGAACTCAGTTGTAAGCATTAAGGGGGATATCAAAATATAAACTCACTGCATACAACTAGCATCCGTGAGGGGGGGGGGGCTGAAAAAGTTCTCCTACTCTTTATCATATTGAGTCAACGGATAAGACGTAACCGTTACATGCAATATGGAATTATCATCAAACCAAACAACACGATTATAGGGTAATAACAAAAAGGGCAGGTACTAAAGCCAAACCTAGTACATTTAAACTTTGGCTAGACATTACCTCAAAGCTAGTCTCTAATATTGCAAGCAGCCTCCAAAAGTGTTCCTATATTCCTTAACAAAAATCTATAAATAAGACCCTAGTTTAGCTGTGGATAGAATACTAGGAATATTCTTGGAATCTACCCGGGTCATTTTTGTTGTGTTGCAGAATATTAAAAAAAAAAAAAACTAGTGGAGATGAATACAGCATTTTTTTATTGTTTCACTCCATACTATAGTGAATTTTTTTTTCATGTTTCTTCTACTCCTCCTCCTTCTCCTGCGAACTCTGAGCCATCATTCAAGGTCGACGAAGCGAGTAACCAATAATGCGACCCAATGCTTTTTTCCCGGGGAACCGATGACGTCACGAACGTTTTCTGCAAGTTTGCGGCAAGGAAACCACGAAAATAACACAAATATCCATAGCCAAGGTCCCGAGCAGATTATTTTCAGTTATAACTTTTTTGAGAAAAACGATGTCTAAAATAAACTGTATTTTTCTAATTGCTCCATTATGACGCTGCCTGGAACTCAAGTCTTGGCAATATAGTTGTTGGTTATAATAAGTATGTCTAAGTTATGCCATAAAATGACGTCATGCATATTTAAACTATGCACCGTCTTGGATGGTCAATATTGAATTTTCGTAAATACTTTTTTTAAGATAAAGCCTAAAAATACAATTTAACTAAACTAAAAGGTCGAAATTAACCTTTTATGAAAATTAAAGGAAAAAAGCCGGAATTGACTTGATCTAATGACTTGGTCTGCCATCTATGATTTTGACGAGTGACAGACTCACACTTAACATCAGCAAGTGCAAAGCGATGCTCTTTGGCACTTGTAACAGGCTGCACCTAGGAAGCGAACAGTTAAAAACATATCTATCTGGAAAGTGTCTTGAAGTAGTATCCAATTTTAAGTATCTGGGGATCTGGCTTGACCCATGTCTGACATGGCAATGCTATATTGAGAAGTTGACAAACTCCGTGTCTGCAAGTTCTTCGGCGACTCGTTTCTGTTCTACCACAAACCACTTTAACAATGTTGTTTAATTGCTTGATATTACCGAAACTTGATTATTGCGATGTAGTATGGGGTAATTGTGGGAAAGGCTTATCAGACAAGCTACAAAAGTTCCAAAACAGAGCAGCAAGAATAATACTAGGTTTACCATATAGATCACATGTCAGCTCTGATCATCTATCCAGCCTTGGCTGGAAAGATCTGTCTTCACGTCGTCATATGCATCTCCCACAAACTGTACGAAAGTCGATAAACAACCAGTTGCCAGAGTACCTAGACATCTTTAATCGAACCCTAGAAACCCACAACTACTCCACCCGACACAGTATGAACCAGTCCCAGTGACTTCCTAAAGCTAGGTTGGAATGTGGCAAGAAAACGTTTGCTTATCGAGGTGCAGTCGGCTGGAATAAACTCCCACCCGGTGTTAGAACTGCACCGTCGATACAGACGTTCAGAACACTGTATGCTCAGTAAGTGACCGCTGACTTCCTTCCCTTATTACGACCTGGCATGATCCCGATTACGAGTAATGGATTACGATTATGATTTTGTTTTTGGTGTAAATATTGTTGTATTTCCGTGTATATATGTGTCGTACCCAGGGCCACTCTGAAAAGCAGTGCTATGACACTGAGTAGTGCCACCCTGGTAAAAGAATGCAGAAAAAAATAAATAAATAGGAAAAATCACCAATTTGGTGGCCCTAGCGCAAGCTGTTCAGGCGCTATCTAAATCGATCTATAACCATACTAGTATCTATAAACTCCTGCTGTTTCCCGCGCAAGCTGTTCAGGTGCTATCTAGATCGATCTATAACCATACTAGTATCTATAAACTCCTGCTGTTTCCCGCGCAAGCTGTTGAGGCGCAATCTAGATCGATCTATAACCATATCTATAAACTCCTGCTGGACACTTTAAAATGCCAGGAATCCACATAGGAGACAGAGCTGTATATGCTGTGTGGTTCATGGTCTACGGTAATGCTTGGCTATACAGCTATCACTGATGATTAGATTGCTTGTTGAATTCCAGATGAAAATACTAGTCACAGTAACCTATCGGTAAAAGAAAACAACTGAAAGACCTATTCAGAGTTCCCAACAGCGTGTTTCACGGTTTAAGATATCCGTGGACTCGAGTTTGAAGGAGTGAACCTGGTTACATCATTAGTATTTTTTCAGAGATGGCAGTTTGCGATGGGAAGTTCTGTTTTGTCTGTGCTGCCTTTCTTACACTTACCTGGGTACTTGTGATGTACGGCGTTCAGGTAAGTTTTACATTACATTCATACTACTAAATAGATTTAACAGTATTACAGTACTTTTCATTCTTTCCTTATAGTAACTAGCGAGCTGTTTTTGACGTCACCTGTTTGTTGGAATTTCCAAATATCAAATTTTAAAAAAGATCTTTTACTAATAAATGCGTTATATATTTCTCTGTGGTTTTGTAGTACAGTGCTGGTCCTTGTATAGGTTTGGTCCCCTGTCCACCGAGGTGGCGATTGAACCTAAAATTGATCAGCACTGCAAAACAAAACAAAGTGCCCTAATACAATCGTTCTGGTGACCGTAATTCGCTCCGTAAACTCAATATTCATCAAGAACGTGATATACGGGAGACATTCAAATAACCATTGCGGTACTTTTGCCGTCAGCTCTGCTATCTTTGTTGTTAGGAGACCAACTTAATAAAACTTGTAAGGTGCCTCAAAGTTAAGTACAAACAGAAGTAACCAATGTAAGCTTTACGTACATTATGCGACTGAGTTCATGAGAGTTTAAAACAGGTTATGTTATTATTTATGATAATGTTAAAATTAATTTAATTCAATGTAAGAATATCATTAATAGTATGCTATTAAAAAGGCAAGATGAAATAAAAGAAGACTATTCTCGTATCTGGCAATAATTTTTAAGTGAGTTTATTTGATACCCATGTTGCCATGGAAACGTCTTTCTGGTGTTTTTGTGGTGAAGTTTAGAAACTTTGCTTGAAACAACGTTTTCTATCAATAACGTGTGTAAATTGTAATGTTGTCCAAGAGGAACAGAAAGAGGTTCTCAAAAGACAATTAAAATCCCAGTTGTTAATGTTGGCAATAGTCGGTTTTTAACATGGTAAAGGCTCTAGCTCCATATGCCATACATGTGCAATAATGGCAACTTTGTTTGTCAATGATTGTGATAACTTCTGAATATTGTAAATACCATTCGTCAGTGAATATTATAAGCCAACAATAATTTTTCAGGTCGACATAGCAGTCGGAAACATAAAGCTTGGACAACATGGAATGAAAAACATTTGGCCTGTGCGTGGATCTCAGGATCTGAAACCTAAATACAAGGTTTGCAATCTTACAAGCTTATTTTGCTCATAAGAATATTTCCGATGAATGTATAAAAGCTCATTGTGCTGAACTCTGCGAGTTGCAGAAAAAAATACCTTAAAAACAAATCAACAGTGTGATGGCTAGAAAAACTGAAAAGTATGTAGCTGTCTCATAAAGAGATTTTGAACACTTGCTGTTTACTGCTACAGTAGGAAAGCGCCTTCATCACCATAATCGTACGTTTGTTTTACTGAGATACAACGACTCGAACCTCCTGCCTTGCAACAACACAAGGTACCGGAGAGGCCACAACCAACAGTTAAAACAACTGCCCTGTCGGTTTTATTCCATTCTCCCCCTTACCATTTCGGACTGGAACTATTTGTCCGAAAACGTCATCCAGTCCCAGTCTCTGTCTACCTTTGCCTCGAAGGTGTCAAACATCGACTAAATCGTCTCTATTGTGACCTTTAACCTGTCAAAATGTCAATAATTTCTAATACTTAGGCAGCTTGACATCAACAAAAGAAAAATAATGCTACACGGTGTATTCCGTATCGTCTGAGGTACCAGTCCGACTGTTTGTCGGATCACCCGAAGGCCGGAGGGTGATCCGACCCCGGAGGGCTGGGACCGAGTCTGATGCGTGATACACCGTGTTGTATTTAATTTGTGTCATACCCACCAGAGAAAACAGACAACTTAATGCGAAATGTGCCTAAATGTGCTGTATCTAAACGTAAACAAAAAGTGTCAATTTTTTGTTTAGAGCGTCAATTTCATTATCCGAATTTTGTGATCAAAGTTTCGAATGTGGCACACTCGGTGCGTGTAACACTAGGTGCGTGTAACACAGTTTCGAATTATTCTATGAAACATTTGGAAACCCCAATCCGAACACGGGCCGGAACACCTTTATCAAACGTTATTGCTGCACAGGTATGACATAAATAAATTATATTTTATTATACGAATGAGAACAGCCCCCCCCC